TCCGGATAGAAATTTGCCCTATAAAGATTGTTGACATGGGATCAAAGCTGAGCTCGAAAATTGGGATGGCCACAGCGCTGCCGCCAACTTATGTGCATAAAATATCTTTCTTTCGCCCTATTCTTCATTCTTTCTGAGTAGAGTGAACAATCTTTCCTTGATCTATATATTTTTTCCCTCATATACTACATCACTCATGTATATTCGACTTTTTCCTGATGTGCAGACCTCCAGAGAATACCTAGGAGTCCGCTTAGAGTCCGCACCAAGCCAAAATTCACTCCTTTCATGCCAATTTCTTTTTTTATTTAAATGTTATTTAATTACCAATTTTTATAGGCCCGAGCCGGAACCGGATAGAAATTGGCCTTTTTGAAGGCCGAATCCAATATCCGGATAGAAATTTGGTAAAACCGACCGGATAAAAATCGCTCAGTTTTGGGCATTTTGGGATACGGCATCTGAGGGTACTTTCCAGGGTCCTGACGAGACCGTGACTCTAGCCTTGCTCTAGCCCATTCCATACATTGATATCGCACCAAGTGTCTATCCGGGAATAATTATGTAAAAATACGAATGTCACGGAGCGCCTGCGTACATCGCCCTTGTTTTGTTTGATTCGAATACAGGGTCAGCACTGTCCCCTTGGGAAACAACCGGCAAGAAAGAGTTCCTCTACAAATTACAAGGGAAGACGGAGGTAGAACCTCAATTGCGGGTGTCGCAGTCTCGGTAATTCTGCCGTTGTACGTATGTAGATGACATTGAGATGACACGCTGGGCAATTTCCACGCCTTGTGCTTCAACCCCTCCTGAGACAGTTGGTGGCTTGTACTTGATGCATGTGCGCCGGGTAAATGGCAGGAGTCGGAGTTTCCTGGCCGCGATGTGTGCAGGTACCTTTTTGTGCGTCGCACGAACAGGGTTATGTACTTTTGGGTGTGGTGGTCTTCCTGTTTGGCTTCAGTCAGATAAAAACTAGATGAAGGGGAATGGTGCAGGAGCTCACATGCAAAGGTCGAATGTAAAATGTTCATCTTTCTGCTCATGCACTTCAAAATCAATCTACAGCACGAGTGGGCACGGGAATGGCGCATTTGATGCTTGTTAAACCTCTGGTTTACCTGTTCATCCATCTGACTTCGAGGACAAGTATTAGAAAGGAACGAGTCCAGTTGTTTTTGGAAGTCAGGACTCGAATCGACTGACCATTCCTACTAGACTTCTAGCTCATCACATCCCACCTAACGTCGTAATCCAATCACTTCACTTGCCACGGGTTACGCGTATCTGTCATGAAGTCTCAACGTTGCAACTTCGTTGCCATTCTGCAGTCGTCTAAGTCACCACTCTCTCCTGACCTTCTGGGCTATGCCCGAAGTTCGTCACGCTCAATATCACATCAGGTCGTCAAAGACCTAAATTTTACAGACAAAGGACGTAAATGACTCGTATGGGGAGAGAAGGCTGACTTGCATGGATTGCAGGTGAGCGCCGATTGCTGGGAAAAGCTTACAGCCGTTTGCATAATTCCGTGAACACCGAAAATTCTTTTTCTGCGCGTGACGTGACTAGTCACCTGACTAAGCACAGCTTTCCCTTGCTCTTTTCAGAAGTTCAGACAGTCCTGCGCCTCGTTCTTTCGCGTCTCGACCGGCGGAAATGTATAAAAAATATCCCTCTTCAATTATGGAAGGCACACTGGTCCTTTTGTCAAAGGATTAGTTATATTTTGCCATGTTCTCAGCCTTTGTGCATGACTTTTCAAACAAGCCTGATAAAACAGTCGGCCAGGTCTTTATTTAACCCCTCTCCAATGCACTAAGCCACCATAAGTATGTAGCTCCAGATCTTCAGGTAGCGAAGGTGTCATGAATGTAACTCTTCAGTTCATTTTGAGCCGATGGCACAGTTATCAGAACGCGGGAAAATGTCTTTTTTGGGCAGGTAAGTCACGTCACGCCCAAAAAAAGAATTTTCGGTGTTCACGGAATTATGCAAACGGCTGTAAGTTGGAAACGCGGCATTTACAAAATGTCTGTTATGGGTTGTTGTCGACGACAAACAAGCTCACCTTTTTCTTATCTTATCTACAAACTTTTCGCCACGCACACACGCCATCAAGATTGTCTCTCACTGGCACAACCACAACTTTCCTTACTGGCTCTGAGGCTCCTCCTGTCATTCTGAGTGCTCGTAATTCCGACTCAAAGCTCAATGGTCGTTCCTACCCAGCCCTTTAACCAACCTTTAACGACTTAGAACTCGCAGGTTCGCCAATGAAACTCGAATCAGATGACTCGGACGCAAGTTGCCTCGCTAACGTCAAACCAAGCTGCTCGACTGCTTCATGGAGTTCAAAAGCATTCAGTGACAAGCTATCAGAGATTTTGAAAGGGATTGTTCCATTTCGCCATCACTCGCCCTTCATTCTAATCGCCTCAACCTAATTTTAGATACCAAGTCGTTACCCCTCTGAAGGTCGTCCCCATCGTCGCTAGCCACCTCGTAGCTCTCGTCCTGGCAGGAGGATGGGCTTCCTTATGGTTTGTCGGGATCCGAGGCATCTTGGGCTTCGACAAAAGTGATACGCCCTCTTGAGAAGTCATCCGTTCAACTGTCATGGTTCGATTCTCTATTCGCCGCTGTCGCCGTTAGTATTTGGACAGTCATGGCATCCATCGCTTTCATCATCGGGATTGTTGGATGTTTTGCGATCGTCGTGGCTTCAATGGGTTACTCCATAGCCCCATACGTGACACACTCGTACGCGTCGCTCTTTTTCAACTTTTCTTCACGAAACATGTGAACTGAATGGTGCACCTGTGCAAAGTTTTTGGCCCCCAAATACAAGCCCGCTGTTCCCTGCATATTGTATTACTCTGCTTAGTAGTTTACTCGGTTCTTCGACTGGTCGAGGTCGTTGTTCGGAAAAAGCCGATTGTGGATGATGAAATTCGCGAAGCTGATTGGGTTGACTTCATGACTTCTCACGATATAAGGCACAGTTGTATCGGCCCTGAAGTCTAAATCGCTCATATTTCCGTCCACCAACATAAGATCCTGCCTCCCCACTTTCCGCTGTCTAAAGACCAGCGCCCGCACCAGAAGGATGGCCGCCCCCGCGACGTATACTGGGATAGCCATATCTAAGTAAGTGATCATGATGGAATCGTACGCATGCGTTTATGTCGAACACTCTAGTACCGCACCTCTCGTTCGTCATTGGGAATTAAAATTTCTAACGCAGAAGCTTACAGTTGCGTCCAGCTTATCGGTACTATCATCACTTGGTTTTTGTCGGGGTCATTATTGGTGCAATGCTGTGCGTTTACTTCACTCTATTTCTTAACACCAATATATCCTCATCTCTTGCGGATTTTCAGACGATTTCTTCTGCACCGATCATTTGAATGGGGACTTGAAATTCATCAAAGTAGCGGGTGTGCATCATCGCGATTTTCCTTGTCCCGCCTTCATGTACCAAATATTAGTTTGGGTATGCCTCGCCGTTGATCAGGTGCGGTCGATGGCTGTGACTGCGGGTGCTTGGCAAAGCTTAATAGTTGCATGGGGAAACCCAACAATTTTCACTGGCCCTTCCGTGTTTCCCGTCTTTACCGTACCACTCACTGGGATAGGCGAGTCTTCCACTCAACCGATCCTTCAACGTACTGACTTCGCCATTGATAGAATCCTGCGTTGTTCAGATTTTTTTTGCCTGGTGGGTCCTCATAAAACCTCGTTTTCACGCATGACCTCCAACATCCTTATAGGCGAATACGGACCCTGAAAAGGGAGTTCAAAATTTATCAAATTATTTCAAGCATAATCTGTTTGGTTGACGGCCTTCCTTGGTTTGTTTTACATGCATTGAACTTTTTCTAGGTGGCGTTGATGCAATTAGCGGCTGCGTTTGCCCGTGGAGTAGCTGTACGTGGTTCATAACTTCACGGCAAAATTTTCATAGATTTGATAATAGTGCGCTCAATCTGAAAGCTTATCCAGCCGACAGCATACTTTAGACCTTTCAGCTGAGGTACGTTCTCTTTTGCTATATCTCCGAGATGCTCAACCTTTCCCTCAAAAGCTTTGGTTATGGGGGACCTTGATCTGTGATTCCGTCATCGTTGCAACTATGACATTTCTGGTACTCCCGTTCTCCTTGGTGTAATTTAAACTAATTCCAATCTTTTCTTTTTCTCTAGCTCGTACAGGCAAAATTAGAATCCTCATTCAAGTCAACGAAGCGTATTATCGATCGTCTCATTATTGTAACTTTGGAGACCGCCGCCGTCACCCTGATCACGACTCTTGTTCAACTAATTTTATATTCAAGATCTCCGACAAATTCGCTCAACCGAGTTGGCATGTAAGTCGAGCGATAAACTTAGTTTGAACGCTACTGATGTCTAATCTTCCAGAATGTACATTTTGGGGGGCTTGTAAGTTGTCCCTGAGCTGTGAATGTCTTTTAAGAGATGCTGACTCGAACAGGTATTCCAACGTGCTCCTTAGCGTTCTGAATAGCCGGAGACGTGCTCGGCATCGGCTAGTTGAACCAAGTCAAACGTTCAGCCTTAATTTTGCTCAGCAAAGTACTACGGCGCCTCTGTCATCCATATTCGAGGAAGCCCCAAGCAGCGAAGTAGGTAGTAAAGCACAAAAGGACGGGGAAAGCCATGTCAAATCCGAAAGCTCACCTCGACGTTGAGTCGAGGTCCGTCTTTGGGGCCTACTTAATCCTCCGGGAAGCCGTATTATGATTTCTTTTTCGCAATACTGTGGGATGGTATCTTGTCTTCAAAGTCTGTTAATTATTGTGAGCTCTGGGGTAAAATTTAATCAGGATAACAAGAATTGACTGACGGCGGCTCACGGGAAACGTTGTTACTGATTTTTAGTCAGGTAAAAGTTGGAAAAGCGACACCTACTTCATGTAACCGTAGAACTCACTGTGCCGCGACCACTGCCGGACTTTTACCTGGGGTTTTTTTTCTATTGAGGGTGACGAAGCCAAACTTTGATCAACATGTTCTGATCAACGTCAACGTTGTCCTCGACGACCATCATTACCTCGGAGTCTCCGACAACGCTAGACGGCTGTTCCGTTCAACACTTTCTCGCTGCTGGTACGTCTTCTAACCCTCTACTTCGAGGCATAGCTAATGAATAATTTCAGAATCATATCAAGGTGAATCATTCCACAATCCTCGCCCCGTCTGTCAGTCCGAAGTCACTCAAGTATCTTAGGATGCGCGTCTCTTGGACACAGTTTTTCGGTTTCGGAATGATTCTACAACCACCCAAGCATCTTCAACAACTGCTTGGGGGCGAATAGCGACGGGGAGACCTTAGAAGTGGTGTAAAGGAAATGCTAGTCATGCATGCCTTGCAGGTGCGGACTCTCACTAATCATTCTTTGAGCCACCACTCCCGCTCAAGTTTATCTTTCTTTTTCTTCAGAAAGACTGTTTGTTTTGTCCTCGTTGGTTAGACCATCGTCAGCTCTACCCACCCCATCCCCACTCCCTCCGTGATCTGTCATGGCTTACTTTTCGTAATCGTGCCTTCCCACCCATTTTTGATGATGAGCTAATCGACTGGCTGCTCACAGAGTGGATGACGCGCTGGTGGGCCTTATGCTGCGGAGCGTTGGGATCGTAGTCACATCGTCAGTCGTCGTCGCCTGCCCACTTGAACGTGGAGTTCTTCTGGTAGGAAGCTAAGGTCCAGGGCTTTCCGCTGTATGGCAACTCCCGAGGCCTTTGACGTTGTTGTCGTTTGAACAGCCAGCGGACACAACCCGCGCTCCTATGGTTGAAGAAGAGGATATAGGAAAGGGGGGCAAGAAGGTGAGTGGGATGACGGGAGGAGAGCACGAATAAGGTGGGTTGGAACTACGACCCAGGTTTGAACTTCAAACTTATTCCCAATTATAAACCATGCCGAGACCCGATTTACATAATTGGAACTGGTCTATTCGTCCCTGTGTTTTTCAATTAGTTCAACGTCTCTTTCAGGTCTAAGCTGATGTTTATCGTGACAATCTGATGTTTGTGACTTTTGTGCTACTTTTGTGCGGTGTCTTAGCTGCCTGTCATCTTGATCCTTCGTTGTAAGCTCAATTCCACTTAGTGTTGCCGAAGTCCAATTTGGTCCGGTTCCGGTCTGGTTCCACCAGTTTTCCTTCAATTTACCAGACCAGACCATTTGTGACCGGTTAAACCAAATAGAACCACTTTGTTTACCCATATTTAGACATACATATATGCAAAAGTATTGTTGCATTAGCAATACTAAGATTTTCACTCTGAAGAATTACAAACCTACCTATGGAAGCCTGGAGTGTAATTCAAAGATGACTTGCAACAAACATCTTTGGGTTGAAGGTGATATCTTTGTGTTAGATTTTATCTGCATTACCGTCACAAGCAAGTCACAATCACAGCTGTGTGACATGTCACACATGCAGCAAAATATCTATTTGTGTTCTAGAGACTACCTACAGTGTTTTTATACAACTTATAGGTAGTAGATATATTGCTCATATGTTTACAGAAGAATTTAGTGGTCCAAAGTGAATTGGACAAGCATAAACTCACTTGGATCTTTGGGTGGTCAAACCATCAGTTTAACTATGGTTTAACCATTTGTAACCGGTTCCTGACAGTCTGAAAACTGTAATTTATTTTTCGGTTTGGTTTCTGGTTTGACCGGAACCAAACCGGACTTCGGCAACACTAATTCCACTCATTCCCTCCTTCTCTATTGGGCATGACATTCAGCGCAAAAAGCCAATTGCTCCTCTCCCACTTGTGTAAATTATTCTAGTTGTAGGAGGACCACAGCATAAACGACAGCATGGTCCTTCATTCGCGCTCATCTGTGCTCGTTAAACAGACTCCGGTGCCCCCAGGCTCCTCACAGGCGCAAGGTACCCAGCACGTGGAGAAATCTAAGCCTCCAGTCCGTTCCGATGTCAACTGGAATGAACTTCGCCGCAGAAACAAAACCGGAGTCAAGGCGTATCATACTCTCCATCGTTTTTGCAATCGGCTTCTCGGTTGGCTAGCATCCAGGTCAACGTGTAGGTCTGTAAGACCATCGGTATACGATGGTTGATGCCTTTTTATGTATTCTTGAATATGAAGCACGACCCTACTCGTCAACAGTGCGTGGAGTACGCGTTCCACACTTGACTTGATCAGTCATTTTACACGTAGAGGTAGAAGATAAACGTACTTGGAGATAACGGCGAGATACTCTCTCTGCAGAAGTTGAGTGGTTAGTTTGGTTCACACAAAGACACTGTATCGGCTTACAGAGAGCGCAAACACGACTACGACGTTGAATATTGAAAGAGCTGTTGCTGCATTAGCACACAATGAATGTGTCGTGCCGACCGTCGCTTACCAACAAGGTAGATATACATTATTATTCCTATGTTTGAAGGCGATTTAGGTGCATCTCTCACGGTGAAATTCAATATCTTACCTTCGCGATATATCACGTGATGCAGATCAACATTCCCTCCTCGCTGATCTAAAAGGGCAGCTTATGACAGTACTTTACCCTCCCCCATGAGTTCCGGCGGACTCCAGCAGACTCCCATAGAATGTCGGAATTCCATCCGGAGTCCGCCGGAATGGTAGGAATCTCAAATTCCAGTGGATTCCGCCGGATTCTGAATGGAATTCCAATGGATTCCGCTGGATTCTGAATGGAATTCCAATGGATTCCACCGGAATCTGAATGGAATTCATGCCTATCATATTTATTGTAAGTCTAATGTAGTCAGCCCAATTTATTATTATATT